AAAAAAAAAAAAAAAAAAAAAAAAAAAAAGTTTGCTATTACGCAACTCTGGGCCTTAACCATACACATAGATCACGCGCAGCAGGTCTGGCCTTGGCACTCCTATTTATGGGAACTCCACGTGCATTAGCTATGTCGGATCAGACGACGTATGATTTGCCGCCTCCTATGGCTATATTTTGTTGCAGGGGTTAGGGTCCATCCTCCACATCACTAGGATGGGTGACTACCGACTTCACCCGAATAGAACGCCCGGTCATTATCGCTGCATCTGGACTGCAAGGTGGGCCAAATGCAGCTATAATGACTCGGCGTTCTATTCGGGTGAAGACGGTAGCATATTGCTGGCTCGAGATTTGTGCACACTCCACCTACGGCAGCAGACATATGGCCTCGCTCCACTACTCCACACTTTACATGCACTTTGACGCATCTAGAGTGTTGAGTAGTGGAGCAAGGCCCATACTGCAGAGACAGGCTCCCTCAACATGTTGTTAAAAAAAAAAAAAAACAGACAAAAAAAAGGAAGGTTCCCCCACCATCTTTCCCAAAGAACCAGTGGCATCCAGCGGCCTAGCTCAGTTGGTAAACCATGGAAGTGGCCTTCAGGAGGTCTTGGGTTCAATCGCCACTGGTCTCATGTACCTTCCTGGGCGAGCTTTTTTTTTTTTTTTTTTTTTTTTAAACATCCGCTGGGATTGTTACCTGAGATGATACGAGCATCATGTACCTTCCTGGGCAAGATTGGCGCCCGCCACCTAGAGATATGCCGTTCGTCCCCCCAAGTGGCATTGAGCAGAGACTGCTGATGTTCGTAGGGGGAGGGGACCACCACCAGAGGGGAGGCACAGCGACTGGCCCACTACCGGCTGACCCCTGGCCGGTATCGCCCACATGCTGTAGCAGGTATCGCACCTGCTTGTGCGTGCCCTCATTGGAGGCTTGAGCACGGATGTGGCTGCTATGGGGTTCCCCGTAATACTATAATGACAATAATAAAAAAGGCCTCAAAGACCGTCCTGTCCAGATTCCATAGGTAATTGAATTGGTTGGGCCTAAAGAATTAACCTTTTAAGTTTTAATCCAAAAAAAAAAAAAAAAAAACCAGTGACATGTGTTGTACGGA